ATAGATACAAGTCTCAAAGACCTCCATTAGTGCAACTCAAAATGGTAAGGAACATTCTGTATCAATTTATTTCTAGATGATATAAAAACAGAGCTGAAAAACCTTCATCTCTGCCATCAAAAAATGTCTACAATATTTCAAGAGAAAGACATAGGAAAAATGTTACAATATATTGAGATTTGTATTGTTACTAAAGAAGAAAAACAAAGTTGTTGGAGAGAAAAGTGCTATTAATTTTATAGTTCTTTCCAACCTAAGGGGTTCATCTACCAGTACCATTCAATAGTGTTGTATGGTCATACATGAGCATTTCATTGGCAAATTTCCAGAAGTTTGTCAGCAGGTCTTTCTCTTTAGTCTGTCTTAATCTGGAAGCCCCACTGAATGGCTAGTATTTGAAATATTGGTAGCATCATAGCAACACACAAACCATCAGAGTATGGCAAACTGACAGAGTTCCCATTTATTGAGGAGTTGTCATGTTCTAGGCACTTTTCCACATACTTTACATGTTTATCTCATACATTCTTGATAGCAATTTTATTAAGCAAATGTTACCAGTGTACTTTGGAATGGGAACAAATTATATATATATATATATTCATCTTCCAGTTGGTCAGGTAGTTGTTCTCCAGATTTCCCAGCACAATCTGGTGAGTATGTCCAGGGCTGCTTGTGTATATTGGAATATATCAATTGGTATTCCATCATCTCCAGGGGCCTTGTTTGTTTGTGGTGTTTTTTTTTCCCTAATTCCTTCAGAGGTATTTAAACTTTCTCCTTCATCACCATTGCCTCTTGGTCATCTATTGTTTTATGAAATTCTTCTGTCAGCTAATTCTTTTTGGTACAAGATTGTGTGTAGTCCTTCCATCTTCTTTCAGTTCTTCACAGGCAAGGAAAATCTTGCAGATTACCCAGAAACATTAACAGAGAACTGCTGGAAATACAAGCTGGATTTAGAAGAGGCCATGACACAAGTGGCATCATAGTCAATATCAGATAGATCTTGGCTAAAAGCAGAGATTACCAGAGAAAAGTCTGTGTTTTAGTGATTATGCAAAGGAACTTGACTACAGGAATCACAACAAATTGTGGCTAACCTTGAGAAGAATGGGATTCTCAGAACACTTGATTGTGCTCATTTGAAACCTATACTTGGACCAGGAAGCAGTCATCAGAACAGTGCAAGGAAACATTGCATGGTTTAAAAGCAGGAAAGGAGTGCCTCAGGGATGCATCCTATCTCCATACCTTTACAATCTATATGCAGAACAGATTATTCAGGAGGCTGAGCTTTATGAGGAAGAATGTGAAGAATCAGAATTGGAGGAAGACTCATCAACAACCTGTGTTATGCAGATTATAAAACCTTGCTTACTGAGACTGAATAGGACCTGAAGCATTTGCTGCAGAAGGTCAAGGACTGCAGCCTCCAATATATATTGAAATTCAATATCAAGGAAACAAAGTTTCAACTCTGGGCCAATTGTTAGCATCATAATAGATGGAAAAGGGAGATATTCAGATTGCTAACAATTTCCACATGTTTGATTCCACAATCAACACTCTTGGCACTAGCAGTCAGGGAATCAAAAGATGAATTGTTTTGGGAAAATTTGCTGGGCCTTTCCAGAGTACTAAAGAGCAAAGATGTCAGTCTAGAGACTAAGGTGTGTCTGATCCAGGCCATGGTCTTCCCAATTACTTGCTATACATTGGAAGGCTATACAATGAATGAGGATAGCAGAAGAAGAATTCATACCTTTGAGCTTGGGTGCTGGAAAAGAGTATTGAATATATCATAGACTGTAAAGAGAACAAACAGGTATGTCCCGGAGAGGGTAAAACCAAGTTTCTCCTTGGAAGCAATTATTATGAAGCTCTGTCTCACAAACTTTGGGGATTTTGCCTGGAGAGACCAGACCAATCCTTGAAGAAAGACATCATGCTTGGAAGGGTGAGGCACAGTGCAGGAGAGGAACACCGTGGATGAGATGAATTGACACAATGATTGATGTAATGGAGTATCTATGTCAGAGATAGTGAAACTGGCTCAGGATAGGGCAGGCTTCAGAACTGTTGTGCATAGGGTCTCTGTAAATTACAGATAACTTGATGACTCATAATAACAACAAAAATCAGTCTGTTTTATAGGTGAAAGGAGTGATATTCATTCTTTAACGTATTTATGGAACAAATAATTCATGTATGAAGAGCTTGGATTCTGAAAGATGAGTTCTTGTTTTCGTTGAGGGTCAGATGTGGACTGTTCAGTTGTTTTTATTTTGTTGATACCCATTTGTGAGTTGATTTGATTTGCTGGATTTGGATAACAATAAGCTGTGGTTGGAAACCTCTTATTTAGAGCCAATCAGGACCTGGTGGGAAGGTCTGTATATTTAAAAGTCAGCTGGGTCCCCAACTAAGTCTTCAGTTTGGAGGCTCACGTGTGAAGCAGTTGGATTCTGGAAAGTAGGTTCTTCTTGTTTTGGTTGTCTCAGACCTGTGACCTTCAGGCCTGGTGTTAATTGTGTTTGGAATGGAAAATATTCTAAGTGCTACAGCACTGGTCTGTCAAATTGCTCTACTGATGTAACTTGGGTTTGCTGGGATGCTGAACACTGTGCCACTGATGTGTCAACTGCCATAATGGTTACCCATAATGGACAATGTTTGGTGGAGCTCCCGGGTTAAACAGCCTTGGAAGCAGGAGTGACATCCACTTCCTAAACAACATGCCTCTGGAAACTCTATGAACTTAGAGAAAATAGTTATAGAACAAGGTTTAGATATTTTGTTCATAGGGTCACTATGAGTCATGCTTGATTCAACGGTAATTAAAAACAACAACAATTGTGTATTATTGAAGGGCATTTAGGATACCAAATACTTTCTAGATATTTGTATTATAATGAAGGATACAACCCATTTGAATGTTTATTATTAGCTGGTGAAAAAAATATGGTATACTTTCATGTAGTCATACATATTTTAAGGAAAAATAAGGTAGGGTAAGGAAATAAAACTCATGGTTGCTGTGATGCTAAACATTGTGACACTGATGTGTCAAATGCAATAATGGTTACCCATGGTGGACAGTATTTGGTGGAACTCCCAGATTAAAATAGGCTTGGAAACATGGGTGGCATCCACTTCCAAAACAGCTTGCCTCTGAAAACTCTATGAACCTGGAGAAGTGATAAAAGTTACACAAGTGTTCAGGACTTTTGTTCATAGGGTTGTTATGAGTCATCTATGACTCAATAGCACTTAACAACAACAAACAACAGTTAAGGTTCCAATCCTTGGGAAATTACATCATGCTGAGAGAAGTGGAAGGTCAGAGTAGAAAAGAAGATCCTCAACATGAGGGATTGAAACAAAGACTGTAACTAAGAATGGGTTTGAACATGTCTCAGATTATGGGGATGGTGTAGGATAGGACAAGGGTTAGGTCTATTGTTCATAGAACTGCTGTGAGACATGGATAAAGCTGAATTGGTGTAGTGGATAGAAAGTTATGCTACCAAGCCAAAGGTGGATGATTTTAATCTGCAGCCCTCAGGCCTGGTTTTGATTGCTTTTGGTCAAACATTCTTCTAAGTGGTACAGCCCTGGTCTGTCAATTTGCTGTACAAAGGTAACTCATGAATTGCTGTGATGCTAAACACGGCGACACTGACATGGCAAATGTGATAATGGTTACCCATGGTGGGCAGTGTTTGGTGGAGCTCCCAGATTAAAATGGGCTTGGAAGCAGGGGTGGCATCCAATTCTGAAATAGCTTGCCTCCAGAAACTCTATGAACTTGGAGAAATGATGAGTTACACAAGTATTCAGGCCTTTTATTCATAGGGTCGCTGTATTTATGACTCGACAGCACTTAACAACAAGGAAATAAAAAGGATGTTGGACTTCTAACTGGAAGTTCAATGATTTGATTCATCCAATTGATCAATGGGAAAAAGATCAGGTAGTACACTCTCTAAATATTTATAGCTCCTAAAAACCAAGTTCTCTGCTATACCTTAGTTGGACCAATTTACAGATTTTTACCACTGGTATATTCTGAGGCTAGGTGATGAAGTGAAGTGATGGAGAATTTGGCAGAATTCTGGCTCTGCCTGTTTCTTGCTCTGATAGCATGGGACAGTTATTTAGTTTCTTTAAACATAGTTTTCTCTCCAATAGAGATGACACTGTGAAACCTCATAGGGATAATATGAATCTTAAAGCAGACAATGTAGTTAAGAAGTTCTGGCACTATTATCCATGTTTAAAAGTTATTATCATGACTGATATTAAATTTGTACATCTTTACTAAAACACTAAACCACAATGAACAATGTTTCCTGTTAATAAAATATATACCCCTTTCCATTGGTTTTTATGAGGATTAAATGAGAGGATGTCTTTTTGTAAGAACTTTGTAAATTGTAAAAACACCATACATATATGAGCGCTTCTTATAATAGTAAACAATATGTTTATGTAGTAGGTGTTAGTCATTGAGACAATATATTCTTTTCTATTTCATTGGTTTGTTTCATTTATCTAGGGGCCTGCCCTAAGTACTGGTGTTATCAAGACAATACAGGTGTAATGCTTGATATCAAGAACAATCCAGAACACCTAAGAAGTTTAATATCTTTCATGTATGTGTCTTTAGCTATTTATAGAATATAATAGAATTTCATTTAAAAAATTTGACTGAAAATAGCTTATTGACTTCATTTTGACTCCTTAAACTGCCCTGTACTCACAGTGGGTTTTTTTTTTCACAGTGTTCTTTTAACCAGATGCAACTTTTTCTAGCACACACTTACTTTCATTTCTAAAATGTGTTAGTTTTTAAAGATTATGTTTCAGCTGTGTTTATGCACTACTATTTGATTGAAGCCACAAGATCCCAAAAGGCAGAGAAAAGATTTTTGCTTAGTTTGCTGGCCTCAGTGAGCTTAGGAGCATGGCACTGATGGTTGACCTCTCCCCTACAGAAGACTGGTGTGTGGTCCCAATGCCATTGAGGTGGAAATTCAGCCCATATGGAAGCTGCTTGTCAAACAGGTAACTATTTTTTTCCCCTTTTCAGAAAAAGAAAATTTCTTCTTTCTCCCCTACTTTTTATTTCAAGTGCACAGGGGAATCTGAAGCAGCCTGCAACCCTTTGATGTGCATGAGATCTGGGTTTCATGCAGTTTCTCTTTGTTCCTCTTCTCTGTGACTTTAGTGTCTGATTTCCCTGTGTCCTGAAGTTAAAATTTTTATTTCAATAAATATATATTGTTTTCTCTTTTGAATTTCCAACTGTTCTTTTTCAATAATTACTTGTTTAAAATGCAAATCTCCTTTAAAATCCATTCAGTGTATGATGGATAGATATCTGTTGCATAATCTCCTGGTCATTTATTTTGTTTCCTTTTCTTATGTATTGGGATAATTATGGTTTAGATGATGGTGTTAGAGCTATGTGGTTCTTTCTATGATCTCTTGGAAGATTTTAAACTTAGTTAGTTTGGACTTATACACATTGCTCTGTTAATTCATTTTTTTTTCCTCCAAGAGCAATCTAAAACACTTGTATTATTGACTTGTATTATTGTAATGTTTTCCTTGTGTTAAAGGTTTGTTTTCATTTTAATTTTCCATACATTTACTTACTGTAAGTAAGACTTCTCCTTTTCTTGCCTGTTTACCTGGACTCATTCATTCTCCCTCTTTGATGCTTTGTATCTGCCTCTAACTAACCCCCAGGGGGTGTTTGGTTGAGATGCTTGGGTTCTTGTCCTTCTAGAATGGTCTAATTGCATTTCCTGAAATAGCTCAGGGTTTGGCCCAGCTCCAGTCTCACTGTGAGCTCTGCATTCTCCCGTTCCACTACAGGCCACGGGCTGTGATTTTTTTCAGCTTCTGTTTTATAATTGTGAAGCCTCCTATCTCTATTCTTGCTTTGGACATTAAGATTAGGTTCTTTCCTCAGTCATATGTGGGGCACTTTCTGTCTCTAATTCCCATATAATTGGATTCTTAACTGTCACAATCTAGTCCTTACTTGGAGCTCCATAAATTTATGTTGAGCTTTAGCAGTTTAGTCCTTAGGGAGTTTTGATGCTAACCCAAAGGTAGCATTTCTCTGATTATTTGAATCCACCAGTGTCTCTGAAGGGGAAAACATGAGCAATCTCCTCTTGCTCAATATAAAGCCTCTGAAAACCTGCTGCAGGTTAAGCCAAGAGTCTGTTCCAAATCCAAAGCAGTGAGTTCGAAGCTTATGTTAGTCTCAATATTGTCTATTTCTACTCTGCTTCTGCCCTGATGGCTGGTGCACATCAAGACTGGGTTCAACTCCTGACTTCTAAGGCCTTCCTCCTGCTGAGAGTGTGGTGGTGGTATAAGTAAAAAACCCTATGCCTAAACCAAGAAGCAGTTGTCAGAACAGGCCAAGAGAACTGCATGTTTTAAAATCAAGAAAGGTATGCATCAGGGCTGTCTCCTTTCTCCATATCCATTCATTCTGAATGCTAAGCAAATCATTCGAGAAGCTAGACTTTCTGAAGAGTAATGTGGCATCAGGATTGGAGGAAGATCCAGCAATAACCTGTGTTATGCAGATGATACAATCTTGCTTGCTGAAAGTGAGGAGGATTTGAAGGTCTTGCTGTAGAAGACCAAAGACTGCAGCCTTCAACACTGAGAAAATAAAAATGCTCACCACTGGGCCAAAAGGCAGCATTGTGATAGAGGGAGAAATGATTGAAATTATCAACATTTAATCTTGCTTGAGGCCATATGCAACACTCTTGGAATCAGCAGTTGGGAGACGGGGAAATGTATGGCATTGGGGAAGTCTGCTGTCAGGGACCTCTCCAAAGACTTGAATAGCAATGATGTTGTTTAGTGACTAAGGTGTTCCTGATTCAAGCCATGATCTTTCCAACCACCTGCTATGCACATGAGAGCTAGAAAATGATTAAAGAAGACAGGAGAGGAATTGATACCTTTGAGTTACAGAGTTAGAGAAGAAAACTGGATATTCCATGGACTACAAAACGAAAAGGTATATCTTGGAGAAAGTGCAGCTAGAACTAGAGTGCTCCTTGGAGGAAAAGATGGTAAAGTTTCATCTCACAGACTTTAGACATGTTGTTAGAATGATATTCCTTGGAAAGTTTCATCGTACTTGCAAAGCTGGAGGATCAGCAAAGAGATGGAAGGCCTTCAATCAGAGGGATTGACATAGTGACTGTAGCAATAGGCTTTGGAATGGCAAAGGTGAATATGGCACAGGATACAACCGGATTCAGAGCTATCATTCATAGAATCACATGAATTGTACTCAACTTGATGCACATAAAAACATCAGCCGCTCTACTTTTAATCATTGAAGAAGAGTTTTGATTTTGAGTATGATCACTTACATAATAATTTCACATTATTTTTATCTGTCATTACTCTGTGTTTGGAGTAGAGAAAAAAATCTTGTCACTTTGGCTTATTTTGAAAGGAAAACTGGCATTTTCTAGAACTTATATACTAGGCCTTTAGTAGGGGGGTAAAAAAAAGTCCAAAACTATTTTACATTTAATTTCAAAATAACCTTGACTGTGGAAGCAAAATTAATTTTTATGGTACTATTTCTTCTGCAAGAAATATTTAACCAATTTTCCACTGGGTTTATATGAACTCAAATTGTATTATCATTTGTGCATAATCTACAATTAGAGCATTTTATGCCAAGCAAACAGAGGAGCTGTAATTTGTAAGTAAAGCATTTAAAATGGAAATAATCAGAAACATTTAAGAAGTAGATTTATAATATAAAAGTATATTTAAGAGTTTAGGAAACCCTTAAGAGGCAACCTATTAAGCTTATTAGCCCAAAGCCAGATCACTTTTAGGTCTCAGAAAATTGTATTTAATATGTTAGAAAATGACAGAAAGTAAAGCTAAGCAAAGAACAGCATTAGTTTCAGCCAACATTTTATCTAATTCATAATTATAAAGGGCATTTCCTCCAGAAGAAAACTCTTGCTTTGCTCAAATGAGCTCTTAAATCTATGCTAAGTAGGCACATCCGGAGATTATTCTCAGATTTGCCCTCTCTGCTACACTTACTCATAAAAAGTGGGGTCAGCAGTCCCCAGATGGGGAAAGTTAAGTGAATATAGAAAGTTGAAGTTATTGCCAAGAAACAAACAAACAAATGTTCCTGAATGGCTCATTGTGGGAGGATTCAGGTTGCCTATGGATTTTAATGCAGCCTTAGGTCAGACAGAATCTCTCCATGTTCAAAGAAAGGGCCACGCTGCCCTGTCTCAACAGATCTTGATAAGTAAAACCTGCAGTAGAAAGAATATGTTACTTTTTAATGACCTGGATGAAAGCAGACTCTTGCATTTTCATTGCACATCTTGATTAAAATGGCAGCATGTGATTATATACAAAAAGTAGTCTACAATTAAATTATTCCACATTGTTTAAAAAAAGATAAAGTCATGTTTCTCCTCAATTATGAGTAAATCACTTAAAATGAGAATGTAGGATTTTGTTCTTGGTAAGCTAATTTTTTTAAAAGATAAAACAAAATATCAGTTTTTAGGCTTGTCTCCTTGTACTTCAAATACGTTTGCTTCTACCATATCACATTCTATGTGCTTAACACCATCCCCACTCAAATGAGTGGCAGTCTGAGTGAGTTTCTTAAGTATTAGAGGTGATTGTAGGTTGTAAAACTGAGAATAAATTCTGACATTCACTGTAGCAATGAGATCAGTTTGACTGCTACTAAGGTTCATGCAAGGAACTCATGCTATTTTTGTCTCTGCAGGTTTTAAATCCATTCTATGTGTTCCAAGTCTTCACCCTAACTCTGTGGTTGAGTCAAGGTTACATAGAATATTCTGTGGCCATCATCATCTTGACTGTTATCTCCATTATCATAAGTGTGTATGATTTGAGACAGGTAAGAGTTGAATTGGCTGTCAAGCTTTATTTAACTTTTGGGGGGCTGCACAAGGAGCAACACCTAGGAGATTTCCACTGAGAACAATGATCTATTTTCTCAAACTTAACTCACACCAATAAAAAAATCAGGGACTTCCTAACTGTGGAATCTAATGAAGGGGGCTTCAGGAATACCAGATCATTTCAATGTATTTTCAAATTCAGATTATTGCAATGAATATCACATTTAGGAATTCTGAAGCTGTGTCTAAGTATGATAGAAAGAATGCTGTGATGGATTAAGGATGTCAGCCAGGGAATGAGGGGAATGGAAGGGCAGCATTGCAACCCCGAATACAAGTCAAGGTTTCTTCAATTTAAATGGAAAGAAACTCAACTCAAGAAACTCAGTAGAAACTGAGAGAATCACATAAAAATTCATGAATGTTTTTACTTGGATGTGGGTGCATCTACATTCTCAAACAGTCATTGGAAATCTATCTTGTGTAATGGTCTGTTGGTCAGTGCTAGCTGATGGAATGTTATACTGATGATGACATATGCATTACAGAATTTAAGAATAAACCTTTATAAATGTTCAGAGCAATTTTACATTGCTACAACATCCAAATGTAGTTTTTCTAGTATATGGTTTAAGAAATGTGTGTGTGTGTGTGTGTGTGTGTGTGTGTGTGTGAGAGAGAGAGAGAGAGAGAGAACACACACACATCGTACTCCACACGATGGATGGCAAAGATGATCAGAACAGTCAAGCATTCATTGTTTTCAGTGTCCCAGATCTCAGATGAAAAGAAAGTGTCGCTCTTACCAATGACCCTGGCTGGCAAGTAGGAAGTGACAGCCACCTCTGTGCTCTCTATTGTCTCAAAACCACAAAAACGCTTTGAGCTATTTCAATTCAATGCTTTTATCTGTGCTTTTTTCATGTTGCAAGATCTGCCATTTTCCTTGTTCCTGAAAGTTCTCTGCATACTGAGCCCCAAATTAGTATTGTAGGTTGTTGGGGTTGGGTTTTTTTCCCCCCCAGACACAATTCTCGTATAATTAATACTTGCTAGAAAATGAAGTTTGACAGTATGTATAATTATGCCAACATTCTTGGAAGTTGAATAGGTTGAATATCAGGCATAAAGAAATTCTCACCCCTTGATCATGTTAAATCCTCTCTCTTTCAAATCCTCTCTCTTTCCCAGTTTTATATTTTTTTATGAAGGTCCAGAGCAACTCATTCTTAACAAGTGGAATTTTTAGGTCAATTCAATCTGAGAATTTCTTAGGTCTTTCTTATTCATTTGTAAACTGCAGTGGAAACTTGAACCAAAGTCTTCATACCGTGCTTTCACGTGTGATACCAAAATTTTATATGCTATCCAGTTTATTTAAGACAAAGACAGTGACTCACAGCAGAGCCACAGAGATGAGAAAGTTGTGTGTGGAAGAGATAACATCCTCACACATCTGTTTACTTTCCTCTGAGTCTAGCTTCAGTGCAAGGTTCTCAATCCAGAAGATAGCCATTTTCTTTATTCTGCTACCAGATGGGATCCTTTCTCCAATTTAGTTTTGCAGATTTGTTTGTTTGTTTCTTTGTTTTTTTCTGGATCATCTAATTCTTTTCCCTGGAAACATAATGTTGATTAGAATATCATTTTAAGAGCATTACACATCCCTTCAATTTTAAAACTCTCTTAATCCTTTTAATTCCTAGATACCTTTGTCTAGGGATAAATGAAAATCATCTTATTTTTTATTGTAATTTTCATAAATGAAAATTATCTCATTTATGATTGTAATTCATAGTTCATACATTTCTCTCTCCTTCTGCTTACCTGATACCCCTGTAAATTCGTTTTCCTCTGCAAAACAACACATTCTGAAGTAGATCTTCAGTATTATTTATGTCCTAGCATCCCTTAAGTTTCTATTCTCAATACTTTCTATGTAAAAATTATTCTGTTACTTTGTTCATGATTTATTTGACTGATTCATCAACCCCCAAGGAATACCTCACTCCATTTGATGTGTATTTTTGAAAACTTAGCCAGTTGTTAGGTGCTTTCCAGTGACCACACCTCCTAACAACCCGATGAATGTCTGCAGTTGACCCTATCCTGTGCTATCCATACAATCTCTACCATGCATAGCCCATTTTTTAATTATTATTTTATTGATATTTTAACAAAAGTTTACAGAAACTTGGATTTCCATTCATTTTCCTCCCTAGCCCCACTGCAGTTTGCTTTTCTCTTTAAAAAGATTCACTGTTGTACAGTTTTCTCCCTCTATGCATTCCCCCCCTCAGTCCACTTTGCTATTCACCTCTTATTCGGTGTTGTTGCCATGCAAATAATACCTAATCATACATTTCTTTTAGACAGTTCTTTCCCTCATCTATTTTAATGCTTTTTCATTACTTATCCCCTCTTTTCTTAGTTTTCCTCCAACCACCATGTCTCTCCTGATTTATAACAGTGGCATTATGCAGTATTTATCCTTTAGTGACTGAGATATTTCACTAAGTTTAAAGTCCTCCAGGGTCTCCCATTTTGTATAATATTTTATGAGTTCCTTGTTTATCAGTGCTGTGTAGTATTCCATTGAGTTACTATACCACAGCTTCTCTATCCATTCATTTGTTGATGGGCACTTGGGTAGTTTCTATCTCTTTGCTATTGTGAACAACACAGCAATAAATATGGGTGTGCATATATCTGTTTGAGTAGCAGTTCTGGTTGCTTTAGGGTATATTCCCAGCAGTTCAATTGTTAGGTCAAATGGTATTTCTATTTCCAACTTTTTGAGAAAGTGCCTTAATGCCTTCCAGAGTGGTTACACCATTTTACATTCCCACCAACAGTAAATAAGGGTTCCAGTTTCTCCCTCTTGCCGACATTTGTTATTTGCTGCTCTATCGAGCTTTGCTATTGTTACTGGATGAAATGATATCTCATAGTTGTTTTTATTTGCATCACCTTTAGAGTTAGGGATTTTAAATATTTCTTCATGTGTTTGTTTGCCATATGAATGTCTCCTTTGGTGAAATATCTATTCACATCCTGTGCCAATTTTGCAATTTGGTTGTTTTCCTTTATCTTGTTGAGGTGCTGGAGCATTCTATAAATTCTAGATTTAAGTATCTTCTTAATCATGTCATTACCAAATATTTTTTTCCCAGCCTGTGGCTTTTCTTTTAACCCTGTTGGAAAAGTTTTTTTGATGTGCATAGGAATTTGATTCTTAGAAAATCCCATTAATTTATTTTATTATCTCCTCATTGTAGGTTTTTCAGAATGCTCAGGAGACTGTTCATGTTGTGGATTAGGGATTCTAGGGTCCTTCCAAGCTTTTCTCTGATGATGTTTATCATCCTTGATTTTACTCCTCGGTCCTTGATACACTTGCTTGAGTTTTCTGCACATAGCTTCCAATTTTACAAACACCATTTGTAAAAGAGACTTTCATTTCCCCATTTAATTTATTTCATCTCCTTGCCAAAAATCAGTTGACCACAGGCAAATGAGCTGATTTCTGGGTTCTCAATTCTATTGCATTGATCTGTTTGGCTATCACTGTACCACTATCATGCTGTCTTGACCATCACAGCTGTGTAATAGGATTTGAGATCAGGGAGTGAGATGCCTCTTATCTTGTTTCTCTTTTTCAGGAATGATTTGCTAATTTGGAGTCTCTTTCATTCCAGATGAAGTTGGAAACTGCCTTTTTTCAATCTCATTGCAGAATGGAATTGGTATTTGTATTGAGATTGCACTGAACTTGTATTGCCTTTCGTAGCCTTGTAATTTTCATAATATTGAGTCTTCCTATTCAAGAGCATGGTGTATTCTTCAATTTCTCCAGGTCTCTTTTTGTTTCTTGTAGTAATGTTTTGTAATCTTCCTTGACTATATCTCTTGTGTGTCTAGTTAGATTTACTCCCAAGCTTTTAATCTTGTGATAAGCTATTGTGACAGGTATTGTTTTTCTTAGCTTCAGTTCTATATTATCTTTGTCACTGTGGAGAAATCCAACTGATTTTGTGGTATGTTGATCTTGTATCCTGCCACTTTGCTGAATTGGTTAACAATGTACAGGCGTTTTCTCCCTGAGTCTTTCGGGTTTTCTAAGTATACTATCATATCATCTGCATATAGAGATATTTTTACCTCCTCTTTGCCAATATGGAGGCCTCTTATTTCCTTCTCTTGCCTTATAGCTATCACTGAGTCTTCCAATCCAATGTTGAATAGGAGAGGTGATAGTGGGCATCCTTGCCTAGTTCCTGTTCTCAAAGGAAATATCTTTAATCTCTTTCCATCGAGAATGTTGTTGGCCACTGATTTTGCATATATACTTTTTTACTAAGTTGAAGAAATTCCTCTCTATTCCTATTTTGTTGAGTGTTGTAGTCAGGAATGTATATTGGATTTTGTTAAAGGCCTTTTTTTTTGTTTTTGTTTTTTTCTGCATCAATTGATACGATCTTTCCTTTATTAAGGTGGGATGACATGGATTGTTTTTCTTATATAGAGCCATCCTTGCATACTTATTATGAATCCCACTTGGTCATGGTGAATTATTATTTTTTATATGTACTGTTGGAGTCTATTGGTCAGGATTTTATTCAGGACTTTTGCATCTACGTTTATGAGAAATATTGACCTGTAGTTTTCTATTTTGGTGGCATCTACCTGACTTTTGTATCAAGGATATGTTTGCTTCACAGAATGAATTTGGGAGAATTCCATCTTTTTCTATTTTTTAAATAGTTTATGTAGAATTGGTGACAGTTCATCTCCGAAAGTCTGGTAAAATTCACTTGTAAAACTTTCTGGTTCAGGGCTTTATTTTTGTTGGAAGTTTTTTATTACCTTTTCAATGTCTTCTTTTGTAATGGATCTGTTAAGATATTTCATTTCAGTCTGTGTCAGTTTAGGTGGGTTGTGAATTTCTAAGTATTTGTCCACTTCTTCTAGGTTTTCATATTTGTTTGAGTATAGT